ACAGTATATAAGTGTGTGAAATTGTTTCAGTGTCGTATGTATTTAACATTGAATATATTACAAATGATTTGTATATAAAAGAATAACTACAAATTTGTTGAGAGAAATAAAGCTGCTTTATTTATATCATGTTTACATAAAATGATACATTTACATGTTAATGTTATTTACATAACATATAAAAGTTACAAATGTTGTTTTATAGTTCAACATAAATATACAATGATAAAAAAACTTCTTTAATTTACTACTGTAATTTAATTTAGGTCCTGTTCTGACCTCAATTTACTATCATCATCATTGCAAGCATCACCATCATTACCTTCAATAGAATAATTATTTACATTGTCATCATCATCATCAACCGACGAGTCTAGCTCAAACCGTGGATCCTTGTAGATCCGAACCCATCACAACATACCTTGCTTGCTCTGACTAAGAGCATCAGTAAGTGACCATTTAATTTATTCCAGTTTAGAAATTAAAAACGGAACAACTCTCACATTGTCAGTCATTTCGAAAATTCTAACAAACTAATTCAGTATAGTTACTGATATTTCCCCCCTGATAATATTAATCCACTTTAAAAATTACTCACTGAGCAATTTTCATATTGACAATCAATTCGAAACTTATGTCAACCTGATTCAGTATAGTTACAAAAATTTCCCCCTTGATAATCTGAAACCACTTAAGAAATTACTCACTGAGCAATTTTCACATTATCGTCTAATCTGTCCCTCGAACCCTGGAGGGATTTCAATTTCAATCCCCGTTGAAATGATTTACGAGAGGGGTAAATTTGCATTTTATTACACGGTAAAGGGAGATGTGCGTGTAAATCAGTCCCACTGCTGCCAGTGGTCACATGGCTTGGAATCGCCACTAACTGCTCGTACACTTCATGCATAAGTGATTTATGTATTTTGACAATGTTTCTTTGATGATAGCAATCTGTAAATTAGAAACAAAAAGAAATACTATTATAATATGTTATATTTATATGAAATATGTTTAATTAAAGGCAAGAATTTTATTAATGTCTACATAAAGTAACTGAGATTTATTAATTTGATACCGTGTATCTGAAATAGAACAAACAGAAAAATGAAATTAGTAAAATAGTTTTAAAATTTATGTTATTTTCGTTTCATTCTTTTATTCGTCAACTCCTCAAAAATCTCTTTTTAATGTTTTCTATCTGAAACAAGAGCATAATGCCCATACGGTAATGTGTGAATATTATCACTTAAAAATACTCATTTATCATCAAAATATAATGAGCTAGTTTGTTCAAATTTATAGTGTACAATGTACATAATATGATAGCTTTGAATGAAATTCTCACCTTTCTATAAATTTACATTACTAAACAGAGTTGCTTCAAATTTGCTAAACTTAATTTGATTTTCTTTAACATTTTTTTTATACTTTAGCTCTTTTGATACAGTCTAAAGTGGATAAATCTATTAAAAACAATTTGCTTCTAAGACCTAGATACATGTACGTTTTAGGAGGAATTCCGCCAAACTGAAATTTATTTCATGTATCCTTTTTGTTTTTTCCACATTTCTATAAAGCATGGATGATGTAAATCATAATTATTTGTATCAAACAAATGTACGTAAACATAATTATGTTTACAAATTTACTATAAACACATTTAATATTATAAATGAAACTGTCTGTGTCCACATACCAGAGACTAAGGTTTTTAGCTCCAAAGATCTTAGGAAATTTGGCTAAGTTATAGGACTGTTAAACCTATATTAAATGATTGGCTTATTAAATGTAACTTTAGCTTTACCTAAAGGGACAAAAATTAGACCATTGGTAGTTTTTATTATTTAAATAAGTCCATTTAATAATATAATAATATATCCATAATAAAAAAAGAAATTATTTTTCATTTCAAATTTATTTATTTTATATACCTATAAATATATTTAAAATAGATTCTTTAAGTTTTTATTAGTTTATTTGGAATACGTTTTAGTATAAATATGAATTGAATGTATAAGCTATAAGCCTTGAATGTTTTTTTTATAAATTTATAATGAATATATTTTTTCCATATATTTAATATATTATTTAAATGTAATCATCTTATATTTCTATTACATTGTTTTACATTACAATAAGTATGTTAAATATACCTTTGGAAAGCATAATATTCATATTTTTGAAACATAAACAATTAGATTTATTATTATATATAAATGATAATACATTTCAAATATATTGAAACATGGCTTAGTGTGTTTGAAATATATTTAAATTATATTAATTCTCTATTTACGATATACGTTGAGCATTTTAAATATTTTACAACCTACTTTATTTACCTCAGCAATTTTTTTTAAGATCAGTGCTGTTTTTTTATCGATAATGACATGTTCTAAAAAACTACCACTGTCAGGAACTTTCATCATTATTGTCATTTCCAATACAACAACATGTTTAACGTATATAACATGAGCACATATTTAGATAATAAAAAAGTACGAAATGGTGCAATATATGTTGCCTTTCTGGGATGCAATATGGGAAACTAGGGCTTCCAAAGTCAAAGGTGCCTCACTATCTACAATTTTCAATTTATTTAATTTCCAAAATTAATATATCCAACGGTTTTCTCTATCGTATATCATTTACTTTCTTATGCTCATACCATCGGAAACAAAATTTAAATGTCTCAAGCTTTTATCAGATATTGCATTATTTTTTTAATATATCGAGATTTATAAAAAAATTAATAGTATAGCCAGACACCGTCGGCGACCCGGATAACCTGAACAGTTGACTGCAGAGTCTCGGTGTTCAATGATACCGTCACCCTGTACCACTCAGGCGCTACCCTTGGGGCGATCCGAGTAAAGAGGTCGAGAGGAAAGCTCACAATCATCAGTAGTGTGACCTCCAAAAAAAAAAACAACAAGGTTTAGCTTACCTTAAGGTCACAAAAAAACAACTCTAGGACTTCGGTAGGCCAAATAATAACCAAAATGTACGGTATTTAAAAACAGACAATATAATTTTCAAATAATAGCCTCATTTTTATCACACACAAAAACACAAACTTAACCTAACTCGGAGACTCCGAAACAAACCAGGATTAATCTTAATCACCCATTTAGGGTAGGCTACTTTAAGAAGAATTTAAAAAGGCTATTTGCAAAATAGCAGAATTATTGAGAAATTAAAAATCTATTAATCAGGTTGAAGTTAAAACAATTTATCAAAAGAGTGTTAATTTAATAAGTGAATAAAACTATAAAATCTGGCCGATTTCATGGACCAAGAGAATACATTTTAAAATTCGAGTAAAAAAAAAATAGAAATTTAAGTTAAATTCTAATGAAAAGAAATTTGGGGATCCCCTATTAATTGGTTAGGCTAGCCGATTACATTTTAAGTTAAAATAAAAAAAAAATTCTTAGCTGATACAGTCCAAGGGGTGCCTGAGTTCTGCGCCGGTACAACACCGGAGCAGCCGAGCCATGACGGTTGGTAGGCCTATGCCAAATGTAGAGGGGAAGAGCAGTCCATCCCACAAACCAGCGGTAGACCCACACCCTGGATAACATTATACCCAAAACTGAATAGTAAAAACCCAAGCCTGCTCGCGGCGGAGGGATATTAGAGCAGTGTGAATCCCAAACAAAAGACTCAAGTACCAGATCTTGATTTGGAAGTTTAATATTGAAATAGAGAATAGTCACAAACAGGAGCAATAAAGAACATTTAATAAAATACTAATAAATCTAGCAGAAATTACTTAAAAGCACGAGAACTACATTATTAAGAGCAGAAGGCGGAACGAACAACTCTTGGCGTCCCCCACGGCCAACGAAATAAACAGATCGACGACTCACACATGTACTATAACAAATCCTGGTTGGTATACTATACAAAATGTGACAGCAAACTGTCACACTAGTGACTGCGGACCGTGGACTGGAGAACTTTTTTACATTGAGTGTGGTTCTGGAACTTCCCTTCCATGCAGAAAATGCAAGAATGAAAGGAAGTTCGTTCTTCATAGGAAGAAAGCGCCTGTGTCGTCGAAAGTGTACTCCTATCTAAAAGTCCTATCCCTCCCATATCCTGGGTTAGATGATTTGGAAGAGCTAGCACCTACAAGAAGGTGTGCCTTTTCCCTAGCTTTAATCTGGTTCTTAACTAAAGTGCATAATGTTTGCACATCTAAGGAGTTATTAACATTAGTTATACAATTCTTAACTCATATTTACTAATTAATAAGACACTTAAAACTAAACTTTATTCAACTAACTAAATTTATATACCCGCTTCCACAATTAATCTTCTTACTGGACAAGAAAAAACTCAATCATCACCTATAATTTCGCGTCACGATGGTAGCAGAGCGTGGTTTAGTACCACAGGACTGCAGCTCTGGCTACGTTTACATTAGCTTCGCCTCTAACGAGTGTGAAGTTAATATCTCCGCAAAGGCGTGAAGCTTTCACTATGTCCGGTTCTAAGCCAAGTAGGTAGGCTTGTGCGAAAAACTCATCAGTTTTTGGAATCAACCTCGTTCTAGATTCTCAATCCTCGACCTACTGACATCAACCAGTCAGTCCTCGACCTACTGGCCGGGATCAGTCCTCGACCTACTGACCACAATCAGTCCTCGACCTACTTACCTCAATCGGTCCTCAACCTACTGACCAAGATCTAGATTTTCAGTCCTCGACCATGTCCTAAATTTTATTCGGATCAGTGGGTCGCCCCACCCCGGAATAGGGAGGGGGGCCTCAACTGCGGGTTTATAAGACTATCGGTTCAAGCTGCAAAAGCACAGTTTGCTTTGCGCTCACATCCGCTGCACACCTTTTTGGTAAGTGCTACTGGTTTCTCTTTTTACATCTACTCACAACTTTTTACACTTTGACAATACTTTACACTCTGCTCACAGACGTACACACTTACTTATTGACAGGATAAGAAATAACAAGAGCTATTGGTTGGTTTTTTTTTTAATTGAAAAGTTCAAGTAAAAAATCGTCCTCTAACGACACATAGCCAGATGAACTACTAGCTGAAGCTTCAGCTAGTAGTCCATCTAGACTATCTTCGTCAGAGGATATATTGATAATTTCTGGTGACGGTTGAGGTGGCGGCGGGGTTTGCCGCGACGGCTGCGGCGTGAGTGGTTCCTCAACCACATCCTCAGGCGGTGGCGGCGATGTTTGCCGCGACGGCTGCGGCAAGAGTGGTTGAGGAAGCGATGTCGGCGGGGTATGCCGCGACGGCTGCGGCGTGAGTGGTAGAGGAGGCGGTGGCGGCGGGGTATGCCAAGATGTTGATTGCTGTGGCGACAGTGGAGCTGGTGGAAATAGCAGCAGCGGCGACAGCGGTGGAACTGACCCCAGCGGCAGCGGTGACGGCGCGGTTGCTGCAAGCGGCAGCGGTGACGACGTGGTTGCTGCAAGCGGCAACGGTGCCGGCGGAGGCGTAAATCTCCGACGCACAGCTGGAATGCCACTTACGACCGCTGTAGGTTTTCTCTTTCTGCCGAGTTGCACCTCGTATCTCTGGGTCTTCTCGCAGCGCATCACTGCTGCCATCAATCCCGCTGAAATATATAAATATGTTTATACAACTTACTCTGACTGGCTATATAGACACTGTTGCACTTGACTAGTGTATATTTTTAAGTTGTCGTTACACTTGACAAGCTTAGTAGTTTGTAATCATACTCCCCATAAGCTTTTAAGATAACTAAAAGTCACTCACTCATAAACCGTACACTTGAAATTAATTGTTATAACAAGAAACCTTGCACAAAACAGTCCATTGTTTCATAAATTACCCTTGTGTTTATGCAAGTGTTGTATTTCTGAGTCTGGTTTTATTTCATATAATTTCCATACTACAGTACTCGTTTATACATAGAGATTCATATATTTATTGTATTGGCACTATCAACTATTGACGTTCCGTTAAAACCCGTTTTATCAAAAGTTTAGTAAAGATATATTTGTTTTATCGACAATGTGTTATAAACAAATACGTTTCAGATTGACTTTGTATACGTGAACCATACTCCTAACAAATGTTACTTTAGAGACACTCGTAGATTGATTATATTAGTCAACGTGATCCAATAATTTCATTATTTGCATTCACTACACAAACATATGTTTAGTAATATATTTGTTTTATTGACATACAAAGTGGTGTACATTTTGGATTTACTTTAAACATGTGTACATGAACCTGCTAACAATTATACAAACTTTAAGGGGACTCGTGTATTTATTATCAACATTCAATTTTATAAATCCCTATAACATTCGTTAAAGTAAATACTGACTTTTTAGTTAGGATCAAATTTGTTTGATCAACATAGTATAATACTGTTTAAAATCTGTATTTGTTTTACATAAGTCTAACAGTTGTTCGTACAAGTTATACATAATGTATTTTACTACCATATGCTGGCAGACGATTATCTTGACTATACAGTAGTTATGTTCTCTACTTGAACAGGTACAATTTGTAAACACAACTACTTTACTACTTGTGTATAACTTTACAATATATCACATTAGTCAATCCAACTGACCGTCACAAAGTACTACCCGTTGTCCTAAATTATATAAACCCAGTCTATAATCAACTAACTCTATTGTGGTGTTTATTTACAGTACAATGTCAGACTTCAAGTCAAAATTGAACAATTTGGAAGTAAGGAGAGGTCCGCCGAGGGCAGCTATATCAGATTTGATCGATCGAGCTGGTTATCTAACCACTGGTGCGAGGCTACATTCTCACCGGGAGTACGGCACAAGTGTGATTCTAGACATAATATTTGACAGGACGCCACACATTGTGTTCCTACCGAAACGCTTCGCTTTGAACCTGACTCAAGCTGAGATAGACACGATCGCAGCTGGCGGGTACAAAGTTAAATGTACCGGGAAGACCGGAAGGTCCCCTAATGTTCAGATTTTTCAATAAATACTCTAAATCATAATTTTGTTTATTTACTAACCTGGAGTATAATTGGAGACCACCTCGATGATCTCGTACGATCTTGACTCCTTAACCGTGTGGCGGGCTCGTAGATCTCTCAACGCTGCCATCGCCTCATCCTCGTTGTCAAATTTCAATAGTACCGCAAACCGCGACATGATGTGACTGACTGCATATTCTTCTCTACATGCATTTATACCCAATCCACACTAAGGGGTTTACCCTGACTTCGCAAGTTGGTCACCTAATTTTACCTGGTTGCATTAAGTGCAGTCGGTCACCTACATATTGCAATATACACCTTGTGACCCAGTGCACTCGGTCACAGAGACAAGGACGACCACATGTCGGCCCAGACACTGAACGCTCGCAAGCCAGACAAGGTCGACAGCGTACACCGTACAAGTCGCCGTTTCATACTTTGTTTCTCAGGCACTGCAAGTACAAAAGTAGTGTAAGTAGTAGTTAAGATAGAGGATTATATATCTACTGGTCGCAGAATGTATTAGTCTCTTCTGTTACCTGTCAAGAGCGTTCGACTGTGTACACCATGATATACTGATTCAGAAGTTGCGGTTTTATGGTATCAATTTTATCGTACAAAATTTTATGGTTTTAATTGTTGGTTTCATTTCTATCCAACAGACCACAGTGTATAAATTTGCAGTCACTGGGGATTAAGTCTGATTATAGATTAATTACAGATGGTGTACCTCAAGGGTTCATTCTTGGCCCTTACTCTTCTTGGTTTTAACTTTTTAAGTATGAGTACAGCGCAAACACAAAAAATGGGGTTTTGGATAACATATTTTTTAAAGTTTTGTGTTTATTTCAAATGAAACAGTTAAATTACCTTCCTCTTTTTATTATTCAGTGAGACTGGAGCTTTTTTAAGCCTCTCGTTTTTTCTTTTGCAACAGTAAAAGCGTCGTCTAGGCTGTTGATCTCCTTCCGAGCCAGGTGATAGAGGTTCAAACCAGTCATTTGAACCAGGGAACTAAACCGAATCAGATGGTGTGGAATGCAGAGTTGGTGGGCTACACGGGCTCATAAATCTATCTGATGGTTCAGTAAAAATCCTCTCTCGAACCAGATGGTGTGGATTGCAGAGTTGGTCGGCTACACGGGCTCATGAATCCATCTAATGGTTCGGGAACATCCTCTCTCGAACCAGATGGTGTAGATTGCAGAGTTGGTCGGCTACACGGGCTCATGAATCCATCTAATGGTTCAGGAACATCCTCTCTCGAACCAGATGGTGTAGATTGCAGAGTTGGTGGGCTACACGGGCTCATAAATCTATCTGATGGTTCAGTAAAAATCCTCTCTCGAACCAGATGGTGTAGATTGCAGAGTTGGTGGGCTACACGGGCTCATAAATCTATCTGATGGTTCAGTAAAAATCCTCTCTCGAACCAGATGGTGTAGATTGCAGAGTTGGTGGGCTACACGGGCTCATAAATCTATCTGATGGTTCAGTAAAAATCCTCTCTCGAACCAGATGGTGTGGATTGCAGAGTTGGTCGGCTACACGGGCTCGTGAATCCTCCTGGTTCTGATGGTTCCGAGAATGTTCCAACAACAGAAGTTACTGTAATAAGAATAAAGAATAATCTACTGTCCAAACTAAGATTAAAAAGTTTGGCATATTTCTCTAGGGTTTCACAAACAAACCAGCTACACTGTAAATAAATAATAAATAAATAACGTTTTTATTAGCCAGCGTATATCAGATCAAAGATCTGTTTTACATTAAAACTTTTGTCAACTATAACAAATTAAATTAAATTAAAATACAAGTTCCTTAAAGAGTAAAACTACCGATTGTAATACTGAATACTAAAATTTCAATCTGTCTGCACTAGTAGGACAATTTTTGTTACTTCTTATAGTAGAGGTAAAAGAGACCTCTCCCTCCCCTCCTCTTCTTTTACCCTGAGGGGTAAAAATCCTTAACCCCCTCCTGAACAATCCTTATCTCTAGTAGGACTTATCGCCCCAGTGACTTTCAAAGATGCCCAAAAACTTTTTGGATCATTACATTGCACATACTTTTCAAAGAAACGTTCTTTTTTATTTCTTAAAGCTACATTAATCTTATATTCTTGCTTTACAGTATGCCACTCTTGTTTCACTGTTCCTTTGATTTAAAAAGTATATTCTTGTAATTGTTAGCAATGCAATATTTTTTTCTCTATCCATCGAGCTTTCTTCTTTGTGGCTCGCTTCCTTACAACCGGTGCACATAAATCATAGATAAAAAGTATTTTCTCATTTATGGCCAGTACTACGTCATCCACACTATCAAGAGATTAAATGCAGTTCCAATCAATTGTAGATGCGAGTTCAAGGACCTCTTCAGCTTCAGATCTCTAAGTGTTTAGATCGCTTAGCTTTCCTATAATGTGTGTGTGTAGACTCATAATATTTTTTTTTATCTTTAAGGTTTTAAAAGTTAAATATTTTGCAGAAGATGACATTTTGCGGCTGATTCGATAAAAATTATTGGTTCATAACCATACAAATATTTTATATGATTATTAAATACTATACTACTATTATTCTCGAAATCACTGACCATTCTCGCTAGCAATCTTCCGTTTCAATTCTGCCAGATGCTTTGTTTGCAGGACAGTGAGGTCCGCTCCGGCAAGGTTGACTCGTAGTCGCCAAACCTCTTGATTGAAGAGACCTTGGAACAATAGTGAAATTTGATGTGTTATGTGATCTTATCCTTCTTTGTATTCTGTAAAAAAGTAATATAAAGACAAAATATATCGTTTTAAACAATTGACATAATAAATATTTCAAAATTAATTATTTCATTAGTAAAATTATGTTATGTTATGTAATGATTATGTAATGTTAAATTTATATATTACATTATGTACAATACTTTTATATATTTATTCATATAAATTGGCAATAATATTGCTGATATTACTTTAAAATATTAATCAAATTCTGTTAGTTCATTTTTACAACCACTATTAAACTAAAACAACTTATGATCTATATATAACCATAACTATTAACTATAATTATAATATTTTTAAGGTGAATGTTAAACATTTTTTTGTAAAGCATAAACAAAAAGATATCTATCCATCTATTGGATTCAGGTTTAATAGGTAAGAAAACCAAATTTTAAATTAAATCTGAAACATCATTTGAAATTGTCATTAAATTATTAGTAAAATATAATTATAAATGATAAGAAAACCATATAATGATAAAACATATTAATGTACCTTCATCGTGGTAAGGGCATAGTGGATAGTCTATGTGACCGGTATTGTAAGGATATTTTAAATCTACTTCTAAAATGAAACCTGTACCATTAGTGATGGTGTTCATGTCAAATGTTGATGGTAGATAAGACACTTAAAGGGGTTTTCTCCCATTTGTATCATAATGTGTCTTTGTATGCAGCCTTAGTACCGAACTGTTTCTTTTAAAGTTCTTTTTGCAATAGTCACATTCATAAGGTCTTTTATCGGTATGCACAACAAAATGGCTCTTCAAATCTTCTTTTGTTTTAAATGCTTTTTTAGAAGTAGAGCATAAAACCAGTTAAAAAAAAAAAACATTTCCAAACACATAAAGATATTTTTAAAAATTATTGTATTTTTCATGTGGATAAAAATCCTAGTATGAGTGTGAATTTAAAATTAGGTGTATTTCATTGTTTTAGCTGCAAGGCAGGTGGTTCTATTACAAAACCTTTAAATAAAATTAACAAATGAATCATTGAACAACATTTTCTTTTGGTTTCCAAGAATTCCACTTCGTATGATCAAACCCTAACCATTTTACAAATAAAAAAGGTTTTTTACGAACTTTTTTTCTTTTATTACCTTTTCCACAAAATACTTCTTTACAATTAATTAACTAAGGCATGCGGTTCATGAAGATGTCCCTTCCGTTGATGATGGCAACTGCGGATCTCCCCGAGGCTGATGTCCCCTGGCGCTCGGATGTCTTCCCTGTTCTGGTCGAGGGATATGCAGGTGTGCCCCCTCGTGGCTCGTCCAGCTAGCGGTAGGTCCTGAGTCCTCATGACTTTCCATACCATACTTCCATTCATACTTTCCGTTCCGTGAGAGCCCCTAAGTGCCTAACCCTTTAGCTCGACCCCCTCGCTACGTTTTTGTGACGCACTCTACAATTACATGTAATTAAAGTGATCATTTCTCTTACTAGTGAATCGTTCTAACAAAGCTTTACGCACCTCATCCTCCTTAGCTTCAGGCAAGCCATCACCCTCTAATTTGCTAAAATCGAATTTTGAAGATGAAAATGTTTCAGCAGGTCCCCGTGTTTTAATCTTATAATTGTAACCTTAGTTGTTTCCATCCCCCTAATATGGCAGCTTGGTCTAATTGACCCAGGAAATCCTTAATGGATGGTCCTGTCCCATCCCCACGAAACGTTTCCAGCATAGAAGCCACCCCTAAATCCATGGTATGCAATTTTTCAAGTCGCGCAACCGCCTGCTCCAATTAATCCCCGTCTCCGGGCATGTTTAAATATGTCAATGTAGATTTATACATTTTCTGAGGGGACCTTCTATCTCCTATCGACTTTATCATTCACTAATTGATAAGGCGTCGCGTATTATTTACTACAAAGTGACGTACACACGTGGATGAATTGTGGTCTGCGATAAGAGTTAACACTAGGAAACAAATAATCGCGGTGCTCAATCCTAGCATTAACCCAATGACAATTCCCTTAAATAAAGACCACATTTAATTAACCTAATATCAAAATATCAAATCAAAATGTAAAAATATTACAACAAAATTCAACAATAAAATTAAATTAGTTTCATCATTACACTACATTTTTGAGAAGAAAAAAATTAAAATAATCAAATACAAAATTATTTAACCATGTCTTAATTACATTTACTTCAATTATTCTATCACAATTTTCGTCACTTTAACTCTCTTGATACCCGCTTCGGATGTATAGTTGGTACGGTTATTTATCCTACTCTCAATAATTCTAGTGACTAATGCACGCAACAAATTTTGACAACCTTCAATTAACAAATCGGGATCGATCACTGGTATATAATATTCCGGTTTCTTAGAAGCGGACATTAGGCTTTGGAACTTCGTACATTGGTACGTATGTTGGGTCTTCTTCCGAT